GACTTAGGCAAGAAGGGCCCTGGCTGGGGACTCTTGACCTGATCCTGTACATTATAAAACCCTGTATCACAAACCACAGAAAAAAAAGTATTAGTGAGTGCATGATTATGTCTGCCTGTGTCACTTAGGACTTGGCAAAGGGCTCTGACCAGAAATCTTACCCATCTGACCTGGTCATCAACACCTTCCAGGCCCCAGGGAAATGCTATTCACATTTCTTGTGCTGTGTCCTCAGAACAAAAGGCAATTGTGTCTGAATGTCAGGAAGGTTTTGGGTTTGTGCTGCTATTGGCATTTGAAATGGACAATGTTTTATAGTACAGAACATTTGCGTAATGGAAATTTTTTTTTTAGATGAGAGGGGAAAGTTATTTGTTAAATGATTTGATGAATAATAAAGTTTTATTTCTGAGTAGGATCAACCATACACTTTCTTGTTTATCTTCAAGTTCCAATTCCTAGTTCCAGAGGTATTCACTCTATTAAAGGTTAAATTTGATTTCAACAAGACACGCACTGCTGTTAGAAGAGGTGCTCAATAGAAGATGCTCAAATAAAGAGCAAATCAGGGGCCACCCTAGTGGCGTGGGGGTTAGAGTCACAGTGATCTCAGCACTATCAAGCTGTCTCTAGCCACTGCCACACTTTAGATCCCCAGCCAGGGAGCTGACCTACATGGCGCAGCAGACCTCTCCTGTCTCACCTGCTGCTCCCCTCAGCAGTGTATTTCAGTAGATCTCCTGTTCTGTTCCCTACTCTGTCTCTCGTGAATCTTCTCACCCACCCTCCACACCTTTAGCCTACATCCCAGTTCTTATATGCATAAATAAATAAAATAAATCACTTTTTTTTAAAGAGCAAATCAGAGCCCTTGGCAGAATTTTTTTTTAATTTTGCACTAAATATTTGATATATAACATTGTTTGCTTTCTTTAAAAAAAGATTTATTCATTTATGCATACAAGAAATGGGGTACAGGTCGGAGGTGTGAAAGGGAGAGAGGATTCACTAGAGAGAGAATGGGGGAACAAAACAGGTGGAGCTACTGAAATACACTACTGAGGGGAGCAGCAGTCAAGATAGGAGAGGTCTGCCAAGTCATGTGGGTCCCCTCCCTGGCTGGGGATCTATCTCACGCTGCAGTGGCTGTGGACAGCTTCATAGTGCCTTTAACCCTTTGTGCCACCAGGGAGGGCCCTAATGTTGTTTGCTTTTAAAATGTTTGTGTATTCAAAATCCAATCGGATCTACATTAAGGATTAAAATTTTTTTTTAAAGATTTATTTATTTATTCATATAGAACTGGGGTACAGGCCAGAGATGCGGAGGGTGAGAGGATTCACCAGAGACAGAGTGGGG